TCCACAGCGCCATTCCATCCGCACCCTCCTGCCCCTTCAACCCTTCCCTGCTCCAAGCTGCCCCATCCAGCCTGGCCTAAATACACCAGGCAAACTGCAACCCTGTGCTTAACTATAGATAAATCCGACAGGAGAGTTTGAGTGATGAAAGTTGGACAGAGGATCTCGAAATCTCTGAGCAAGAAACACTTAGAACACTTTAAAAAACGAATGTTATCCTATTTTCTGGCAATTGCGCTGTTATTATGTGCCAGATGTTAAGACAGTTATGAATGTCCATTTGCGAGATTTATTAGTCATTTCAATAGGCATAGACTACAGACAAAAAATATGGGTTTATGATTCTAATTCAATTTTGCCATGGTTTGTTTAGCTAGATGCAGGTAGCCTATTGCCCATGATAGGCCTACATCTAATTTAAGATAGTATACGGTAGCCTAGGCAAGATTTAAACTGAACGATTTAGCAGCTTGTTTAGTTCAAATTGACAGACTAATTTATTCAACATGATAGTGAGGCGATTTACATGTAAGAAGTGCTTGTGTTTCCCAATAGCCTGCTGGAATGGGCTATCGAGGATGGGGTCGTAATTTCAATCGCTGAATTCAATATTAATAATATGTATATGAACTGAATATGTTAGTCAACAACAGCCAGGGTTTGTTTTTGTTTTTTTACCTGTACCCCAATCTGACTGACTGTTATCAATCTAATGCGTTTTAACAACCGATCGGCAATTGCGATAGAGCTTTGATAACTTCAAATTTAATTAAGTAAAACTTGACCATTAATAATTGCATATTAACACATGGCTACAACACCAATAAACGGAAGTGATTGGCTATTTATTAAATCCGTTTGCTAGATTCAGGTAGGCTACACAAGTGCCACAAATTGATTTGCAATGACTCCAGTGATATCGTCATTTCAACATATGTATTGTATCAAATGGTAGCCTACAGTAAGTAGCCTACAATGGCATATAAGTTAATAGGCTACTTCTCCACATTTAATGTCAGTTTCATTGAGGACTTTTCCCAATAACAGAAGAACGCGAGGGAGTTCGATAACTACCATTTCAAATTTCCACTCGCGCTGCCTGCCACTGAGACACTTCGTTTGATCCCGTTTTCCATAAGCATTAGAATGCAGTTTAAACCACCTACGTGCAAATTTATCTAATGTGCTCTAGTGCGCCGAAATTAGTTTTCCAGTGCTTTGTCGCCGTTATTTCTTGATGCACATCAGTTCTAGCGTGTTAATTTTTTTTATGGAAAAAAAATAGGTTTCTCCATAATGACAATCTAAATAGCCTACCTACAACTGCTAAAAAGTTGTCACGACGTGCTCTCCCGTGACCCACTAGTGGACTCTTGCAGCGTTCAAATGCTAGTCGGAACAAGGAAACATCTGACTTGCTAACTTGATTTTATTTAATTAACTAGGAAAGTCACTTAAGAACAAATTCGTGTTTACAATGACGGCCTACCAAAAGGCAAAGGGCCTCCTGCGGGGACGGGGCAAGGATAAAAAAATTAATAAATTAATATATAAATATAGGACCAAACACACATCACTACATAAAGAGAGACCTAAGAAAAGAACATAGCATGGCAGCAACACAGCAAGGTAGCAACCCAACATGAAAACAACATGGTAGCAGCACAATACATGGTACAAACATTATTGGGCACAGACAACAGCACAAAGGGCAAGAAAGTCGAGACAACAATACATCACACTAAGCAGCCACAACTGTCAGTAAGAGAGTCCATGATTGAGTCTTTTGAATGAAGACATGGAGATAAAACTGTCCAGTTTTAGTGTTTTTTGCAGCTCGTTCCAGTCGCTAGCTGCAGCGAACTGGAACGAGGAGCGACCCGGGGATGTGTGTGCTTTGGGGACCTTTAACAGAATGTGACTGGCAGAACGGGAGTTGTATATGGAGGATGAGGGCTGCAGCAGGTATCTAACTGGTCGGCATAAACTGAATTCTGCAGTGCTCTCTCAACACACACTCCCTTAGGCCCTCCCCACTACTCAATCACTCAGCAACAGCCTGCCTCACTGCCTGATAGTCCGCAGCAGGTCACAGTGAAATATATATATTTAAAGATAAATGCCATGGCGGCTGCGGTCTAACTTAGAAGTAGCCAAAAACCCGCAACCAATACATTTTCACCCGCAACATCGTTTTGAAAGTATCCCAATTTCAGAAAATCGCGGAAATGGCAACCCTGTTTGCGTCCATTGATTTCCCGCAGTTTGAACCCAAAAAAGGAACTCGCAATGTAGCAAACGTCCGCCCCAAAGATAGACAAGTGATGTTGATTGACACGTTGGATGAAGGTTGTTGTTGTTTGTAAGATGTCTATCATTTGTTTGTTGTATTGTTTTGTGTAATATACTACTTCTTTAGCCTGCACTACATCACTCAATGTTATGTAAACAAAACAATTTCCCCCAGTAGCTAGAATTGAGCGAATATTAATGCGCATGGATGCTGTTGTCCTACTACTTATTGTTTAGGCATAGATGCGTCTCAGGTAACGTTAAGTTTGTTAGGGTTCTTACTCATCTCTTTAATTGTGGTGTTATTTGAAGTAGCCTAGGAACAACGATGCATTTATTTGATGAGGATGTGTGTATATGAATGTGCATACAATTAGCTACAGCTACCCTTGTTTTGACAGTGCAATTATCTCAATTTAGTTTTGTATTATAATAAAACAAGGTGACTGTAAATGAAATGACGTCTTCATATCAGCCATTGCATGATTTTCTATTTTGACAGTGTTTCTTATTGAAGCAGGCCTAATGGAAGACCGCCAATCAAGTGATCTGCCCAGGAAGTGGAGGACTGTAGCCCAGCCATCAAACCAAGGATCCATGTCTGTCCTCCCCCAGCCAGGCAACTCCCACCAGCCCAACACATGGCTCCATACACAAAGCAGGACACCCCACCATCCCAAGACTAGAGCCCAGCCCAGGACACCCCATGCAGCCATGGCTCCATCCACCCAGCAGCCTCCACTCAACAACAGGCAGGTCCGGGCTCCAACAACCAGGCAGGTCCGACCTCCAAAGACGGCTCCAACAACCAGGCAGGTCCGGCAGCTAAAGACGGCTCCCACAACCAGGCAGGTCCGGCAGCCAAAGACGGCTTCAACAACCAGGCAGGTCCAGCAGCCAAAGACGGCTTCAACAACCAGGCAGGTCCAGCAGCCAAAGACGGCTTCAACAACCAGGCAGGTCCGGCAGCCAAAGACGGCTCCCACAACCAGGCAGGTCCAGCAGCCAAAGACTGCTCCCACAACAAGGCAGGTCCAGCAGCCAAAGATGGCTCCAACAACCAAAAACACCTCTAAAACCCAGAACCAGAGGGGTTCCAGTGCCCATAAGGTTAAAGGCCCTAAATCCTCCTGTGCCCAGCAGAAGCAGCCCAGAGTACCCAGGCTTGGAGGCTCTGTCCAACCTGTGACCACTAACGTGACCCCGGTCAAGCCCCAACCGAGGCCCCAGCCCCAACCTCATCCCCAGAGGCCATATACATGGTCCCAGCACAGAAACCAGCCACAGGCCCATTGTCCACAACCCTATTCCATCAAAACGCGATCCTCCTCCACCACCCGTAGCTCAGCTAAGACTCCTACCTTCCCCTCAACCAAACCTAAGCCTTCCATTCCACCTAAATCTAAGCCGCCCAAAACTGCCAACCTAATTTCCGGCACAACGCCTGAAACAGGCCCCCATGACACCACCCCCAGCCTCCCTGCTCCCTTCCAGTCCTATGAGAACATTATGATCTGTGATCAATTCCTGCTGGGGTACTGCCCCAAGAGGGAGGGGTGCCACCTGTACCACACGCAGTACCCCTTCCACTGGCAGCTGAAGAGGACTGACACCCCGGAGTGGGTCAGCCTGGAACCCAGCTCCCAGCTCGAAGCAGAACGTTGGTTCTGTGACCCAGATAAGGAAAGGGTCTACCTGACACGTTGGTGAGTGAGTGAGTGGCACGAGGTAGATGTTGCCCCCCACCACAGATCTTCAGATGATCCTGGCCTATATCCCGAATTCTAACCATGAGAAAATGTCTGACCCTGTATCAATGGTAAGGGGCAACTTCTACCTTCTCAGAGTGGGTATAATTAACATACTTGGGTTAAATACTTGAGGTTGGAGCTTGCACCTTTGGAATTATTCCATTGGTTCCTTTAAAATGGGTAGCTGAAGTATTTGACCCAGGTCTGATGGGTAATGGTAACGTTATGTGAAGTAAAGTAAGTCTTTCATCTCTTAATAATCATTCACATTTGAAAAGAACTACTCCCTCAGACGGCTCTTCTTCTAGGACTCTCAAGGACCAACTCTGCCTGAACTTCGTCTCGCTGATGGTGGAGAATTCCACTGTGTACAGCCAAGTCAGGAGGCTGTCCAACACCACTGACCCAGCGCTGAACCCTCACTTCCCAACACATTGGCGCTTCTACTGGGAATCTGACTATGGCTGGGAAGCCTATGGAGAAGTGTGTCCCACCTACCAAACTCGGTTCTCCCTCTTGTGGGGTTTTTACTTCATGTTTGGTGTGAGGAAGTGATAGCCTACTGGCCATCTCAAATTTGACAAAGCGTTTTTCATTTGTTTAGAGAAGTTGTTCTTAGCCCTCAGACTGTAGATGGCTTTCCTCTCCTTTCCTTGATTACCTCTGATGGATGAAATGGATTGTTAGAACATGTCCTGACCTTTTGAAGTGACCTATGACTCCTTTGGAGTAGATTGACCCTAATAACGGATACTGGATCAGATAATTTAGCAAATGTCTAATGGTTAAATTCAGGACTAGGGGTAGGGAAATCTGTTTCTAGATCTGTGGTTTGGGGCTGACTTCATCCTCCTCCCCTGTACCACCTAGGAGAACCTTGAGCTCATACTGGACTGTCTTAGTAAGGGTCAGGACAGCTGCTGGCTGGGTAAAGACTGGGCCTGTGTAAATCTCAAGATGCTTACAGAGAAAAACTTCATCACAGACTCCACACACCGCATCAGATGCAGACCCACCTTCCGCTCGCCAGACTCCCTAAAACACCACCTCAGGTACAAGCATGCTGTCAGTTACAGGTTGCATTGGATTTCACTGTGGATGTTGTTCATACCGTCTTTCATTTTCATTGCCTTGAGAAGTGAAAATCAATTCCAGTGTTAACAAGACAATGTGAATCTCCTAGGATACTCCCAGTTGGACAGGTGACCCTCCCAAGTCTTGAGGTGGACCCTATGGAGAATTTCAACTGCCGGTACCCCCCGATGTGGACCCTGAGTCCAGGGAACCCCTTTTCCATGCTGGAGGTTCCCCCTGGGACGCTGGTTTACAGGACGGTCCACGACCTGTTCCACAGAACCATGCCAGAGAGCCAGGCCCAGATCACCAGCCTGCAGCAGGTCCAAAACACCTTCCAGTGGGACAAGTATAGAATGTAAGACTTGCCTCAATAACATTCTGCACTTCAAATACATAATAAATACATTAAATTGATTCCAATGGAGGGTTGTATTGTTGATTGTGTTTTCCAGGCAGAAGAAGCACATGGAGGACACGCAGGACAATTGTAGCGTGGTCCTGGAGAGACACCTGTTCCATGGAACATCCGAGAGCGCCGCCATGGACATCGGCCGACAGAACTTCGACCCGCGCGTGGCGAAACCCACTAGTCATTACGGCCGTGGCGTTTACTTTGCCCGCGAAGCTCTGCGGTCCAGCCTCTACTCCATCAGAGGGCCGGGGGGAGACTTTACAGACTGTGGGTTCATGTTCCTGGCTAAGGTGCTTGTGGGTAAAGCCTGTGTAGGAAAGATTGACTATGTCCGTCCCCCTCGACTCCCCAACCCCACTAAGTTAGGACGGCATCACTACGATTCCTGTGCGGATCAGAAGCATCCTACCATATTTGTTGTGTTTGACAGCAGCCAGTGCTACCCCTACTACCTCATCAATTACAAAGTCCTGGGAAACAATGGCAGTGCTGTGTGAAGGGCCTAGAAAACAGAACCAGGACTGGTTTAGGAGGGCACATTATTTTGGACGGAGCATTGTTAACTTTTTTCTGTTATTACACTTTTATTTACATTTTCACTTGAAATTGGAGAGCCAGTTATTTGCAACACTGAAATGTACTATAATAATGTTCAATAAAAAATGTTGTGGCACAATTAACTTAGGTCAAGAGTTCAAGACTATCTTGTTGATTGCCGGGGCGGCAGGTAGCTTAGTGGTTAAGAGCGTTGTGCCAGTAACCGAAAGGTCGCTGGTTCTAATCCCCGAGCCGACTAGGTGAACAATCTGTCGATGTGCCCTTGAGCAAGGCACTTAACCCTAATTGCTCCTGTAAGTCGCTCTGGATAAGAGTGTCTGCTAAATGACTAAAATGTAAATGTTGATTGATTCTGTTTCTTTTGTTGCGTTGCGTTTTAATTTAGGTCACTATCAACATTTAATAGTCTGTTTGTAGAACTATACTGAAAACAAAATGTTAGAAAGACATTTTCTTTGTGTCTTGGTAAAAGGCCCTCTGTGTGAGGAAGAAAAGGGTAAAGAAGTCAAACTGTTCCTAAGCCTTGTCTATGAAGACCAGTTAAGTTACTAACAGCTCAGTTTCTTTCATCAACTCTGTTAAGTTGTCTGTTCAATGAGAAGTAATAAACTGTCTGATACCTTGTCATTCTTTTCACTGACAATCACAGAGAAATTGATTAGAGGATGCGATGCATCACAGCTGATCATAGTCAAACCAACAATGTAAATTGATATAACTATAATATGTGAGATTTGTATAAATTAGATATTCTAAAACAGCTGTGGCCAATGTGTGTATAAATTGTATAATTCTGATTGCCACATCTCATAGAGCTTCTGTGCCCTCTAGTGGAGAAATAAAAACCATCTTATGCACTAGATATGGTGTAGGCTAGACTAGAGGACTAGGTCACAGGTGATAAATTACAAACTTTCCCAGTTGACAGATCTTTTGTGATGGTGTAGTAATATGTTTGTGCATTTTAAATATCAATTCAGTTTGTTAATGTGATTTACATACTTCTGCTCTGATCACTAAACATTCTCTCACTCATCTGGATAAATTGTTATGACATTAAGGATTAAATGTTCTATTAACTGCTCTAATGAATCTTGTAAAATTTGCACAAACGAATTCTTTGTTTTTGTACTAAAAACAAATATGTAGTGTTGATACTATTCATTCATATTTTAGCCTGGAGAGGGCTGGACTGAGGGAAAGAAGAGAAGGAGAGAGATGGTAGCTAAAATAACTGCGGTCAGAGTCAGGTGAATGAGTTCATCTTGACATCTTTATTCCTGCCCTGCTGCACATTTGCCATTGTGTTAGAGTAAATACATCTTAAATAGTTAAAACAGTTGATATTTTCACAATCAAACTTCCAAACCCACATCCTCTCTCGCTCGTTCACACTACAGTTTTACAAGGGAAAAGCAAGCCCTTTTTGGTTTCAGTCCTTGGGCAAAACCTCCCAATGTCCATGTTTTTGTCCACAAAAGTCTCCCCTCCCTTCAGACATGATTACTGGAGGCCTGCTGGTCTTGTATTCCTCTTGATGACAACTGATGTCCAGTTTCTAAGAGTTTACCTTTAGATGTGTGCCCATAACTGCCGGTCAATCAGAGCACATTGAGTATAGACAGACGAGGGACATTGTGTGAGATTCAGAATATAACGGCCAACTATAGTTCAGACAACTGTACAGTTCACATCTTCTATCACCAGAGGTCCACTTGATAAACAAGTTACATAGGTCGGATTTGTTTAACGTTACACAGTAGATCACTATGGGGACAAAGATCCACGTTCGGTTATTTATTTTTCAAGGTACAGATTCTTTACTTTATGGTTATGGAGTGCCCTATACTAATAGAAAAACATAATATTCTTTTCAGTTGTAAGACCCCAAAAACAACAAATTGAGAATAAAACCACAGAAGACCAACATCATCCCAGTCTCTGAATCCCTCAGAGCTCCGGAATATAATTTGTGGTCCACACACCGCAGTAGAGGTGTTCCACCCAGACAGAGCCAGAAGAGGTGTAGTGGCTGTTGTCGGAGGTAACGGTCAAGCCTGTGTGCAGTGTCAGTGTCTTCATCAACAGACCCCCTCCATCCCCTGGATCCAACATATGAAGGGTAGCAACCCAGTAAAGGTGAGAGGATCTTGGGGAGTAGTGTCTGACTGCAGGGCCCTCTCATGATGGGGGAGCAGGTCAAGAAATCTCTTACATGCCAACTGGTGTAATTGTGTTCAGGCAAGACGGGGGTAATTCAGAAGAGTGTTTGTTGGAGAGGGCAGTTCCTGGAAAACCACATACAAGAGCACGTACTGTACATATACTAAGGAACGCCACTCACATGTATGATAGCAGCAAAAAGTATTGGTGAAATTATTATTAATATTATTTTCCAATGTTAAGGTCTATCTTCTAGGCAAGAGGTCAAGGTGTTGGCTTTGCTTTGACTGAAGTCTAATGAGGCATCACAATGTACTACTGGGTCACTGTGGCTGAACTGTGGGTGTAAGTACCTTCAAAAACAGGAGGGAGAAATAAAAAGAAAGCAGCCTTTTTACACAGTTTGGACTAAAAACACAAAAATAATCAGCTACTCAGACAGGGCAAGCTGTACAGAATCTCATCTGGTTGGTGTGTTTCAGAGTTAGTTTTTCCTCATGTCTGTTTGTAGAGGGAAAGATCAACAAATGCCAGAAGGAACACATCTCCAATCGCCACCAATCATTCACAACAAGTTATCCACAGAGGAAAGCAGACACAGACCACCACAGAAGCACCTGCTTCAGGCAAACTTACTACTCTAAAAGGCATGAAGTACTAGCTAACAAATAATAAGGCAAGTTAAACAGGACCAAGCAGTGTTGATTTGTATCGGCAACCCTATGCTGTGGTTAGTGTTGTAGAGAGCACAAAAGCTAGTAGGCCTACCTACACCATTCAATATCTGGACATATCTGGATAAGAGCATCTGCTAAATGACTAAAAATGTGTAATATTGAGAAATATCAAAAGAGAACCCCTAAAATGAAGAATGTTTTCCGCTGACTTTTCTTGCAAATAAAGTTGGCTCGTACATTACTAGCTTGAATCAAATGATCTTCTCAGGGAACCAAAGGTCCAACTGAGGAGGCAGTAGCGAGTAGAATGAGAGAGAAGGTTATTTTATGTGGTCAAAACAGTTTTATCCCACATATTACCAGTAATTTAAGGCAGGTCTTGTGCATTACAATCTGTGAAATTGAAATTCTGGCGTTCCATCTTATGTTCCAGGATCAAAAGGTGAGACATTTCTGGACATTCCCGTTTCCTGAGCCTTAAAACACAGTGAGGACCGATACTTGCTATCTAGAAATGTCAAACTATACTAAACACCATACAGTTGTCTAAGCAAAGGAATAGGAAAGAAATGAATGCCACCGGTGTCTTAAAATAGCACTTAATCTCAAAGGGTATTTTGTTCCACTTCCCTGAAAGGCTGTGCAAGAAGAATCATTCACTGCATAACCACCCCATGGTAAATAATGGCACTGCATGGACCAAGGAATGATGTTAGTCTCCCATCCTTCCAACCATTCAGCCAAACCTTGAAGGCAACAGCAAGTAAAACTTCACTTATGTACCCCTCCCTTCTCCACCCAAAAAATACAAGCAAATAATAAATAGGCATGAGAGAGAGATGGTTTATTCCCAATTCTTAAACCTAGACAGTAAACATTCCTATTGCACCAGAACCTACAATATCTAGTCCTATATTACTCCACAAAGAGAACCCTTTAGCACACTCACACATGTGCACGAACATGTTTGTGAGGGGGAAGGCAATGGCACTCTGGGAAAATGAGTCCATCCATCTGTCTGATCCACAGCCCTGCCCACATAAGGACCCAAATAAGGACTTCCTCACGGTGACAGGTCTTAAAATGGCTACAGCCCATCACACAAAATAAACATCCTGGCTTACCTTACAATGCCGAGCATGATCACCTTCAAATCACAAAAAAGCCACATAAAAAAAAAAACGTGTTTTAAGAAGAAAAGAAAGTTCGATTTGACAGCTAGACTAACCAAAAAAATTAAATAAAAAAAGGACCATTCCTATGTGGCGTGTCTTTTGTCATGCTCCGTCCCCATACTTGTGTCCGTAATAATGAGGTTACTGCAGAGCCCCTCTAGAGAGGAACAAGGAGGCTGGGGGGAGGTTAAATTAGGGATGGGGATATAGGCTACTACTGTCCAGTCTTTTCGGGGGGTCAAATGTAAAATCAGGGTTTTGAGGTATGAGAAGGTGGTGGTGAGGGGGACTCACCAGGGATTGGTGACATCCCCCTTTAAGACCAGTGTTGAGACTGTAAAACAATAACTTAGCAGGAACTCATTGGAGCTGCCGAGCATGATCACTGGTGAGAAACAGTTATTAGTGGTGTTGCTCTGGCAGACATGGACTCAAAGAGGGGACAGACAGACAGCCTAGTCTAGTCTAGCACGGCCTGGCAGGGGCAAGATCCCCCTCTCCTCTATGGTACACAGTCAGCCTGGTGGTGCATCCGCTTGCTCTGCTTTTCTTTGACTGTCCTCTTTAGTTTCAAAGTTTGTTGTTGTTTCATCCTCCACCGTCAGTCTTTAAGTCCATGCTGCCACTACGCGCCATAGGTCCACTCCTCACCCCGAACTGGTGAGCTGTGGGAGAAAAAGAGAAATGATTAAGATATTGTGTAAGGATTCAGTGTCTCTTTGCTGTGAACGATGTTGTTGATTATGCTTGCGATGAAGTTGGTAGAGTTTCTGAACGACCTCCATCACGACACCACACAGCGGCAGCTCATGCAGTCCTGTCCACTCTCGTCCGGAGGGTTGAGCTTCCTCAGCTTGTGCTGCCTGATCTCTCTCACTAGTGTGTAGAAAGCGTCCTCTACCCCCTGCAAAACACACACACAGTCAGAACAATCTGCAAAAAGGTGGGCATTACATATTTACAAGGTCGTAAACTTGATGGCCATCAACAACATAACTTTGTGTATTTGTAGAAAATGTTCCCAGCACCGCACACACACACATATACATTGCATTGAGGGACCCTCACTGCTCTGTGTGTGTGTGTGTGTGTGTGTAAGCGTACCTGTCGTGTCTTGGCCGAGGTCTCGATGTAGGGAATTCCGTAGCTGCGGGCCAGTTCCTGTGCTTGCCGTGTGTCCACAGTACGCGATGGAAGGTCACATTTATTACCCACCAGCACCATGGGCACGTCGTCAGAGTCCTTCACGCGCTTGATCTGTTCCCTATAGGAAGACAGAAAAACACTGGTCAGTTCCCTACCTGGTTTAACCCGTTTCTACTGAAATGAGGACCGTACTCGACATTACATGGGCCTTAAACCACAGGAACTGCCAGTAGAAAAACTTTAGTAGAGTCGTAAGCACTTGCAGCTATGGAAAACACAATGTAATTGCCTGTACACATACCCAGTGATACAGTGGTGAAAATAGGTGGGTAAACTCTGATCACGGTGAAAAAAGTAACCCTCCCTATACTTTCAATGCATTTTTCCACAAAAGGTGGGTAAAACTGTCAAGCAAAAACAAAAAAGGTGTGTAAACTTTGTTTACCCTCCACTACACCAAGGTTAGTATAGTAAACTGAAACGAATCATGAAAAAACTATTTAGTAAACTTAAATAAAATAATTAACAAAACACGTTTGAAAAACTAAAACTGTACTGAAACTATTATCTTTGACTCCAAAACGAATTAAAATGAAATAAAATCTAATGGGGGGGCTTTCAAGATACTGAATCTGGCAAGTTAATACAGCCAGGAGATGGTGATGTTTCAAATAGGCCTAGCTTGTGCATCACTATCACCTAGCTAAAATGGGAAAATTGGCTAGGTATCTAGCTCGATTCTTCTTACATGTACTACTAAAGTTAAAAAGCATTGGATTGGTGTAAGCCTGGATGAGAGAGAGTTTTTTTTCACCAGTCTCAGCGCTATTCCTTTTAAATCCAAGTCACATTGAGATTGACTTTATGAATTAAACCTAACCTATAGCCTGACCCATTACCGAAAGTATTCAGACCCCTTGACTTTTTCCACATTTTGTTACTTTACCGCCTTATTCTAAAATGGATTAAATAAATACATACCCTAGGCAATCTACACACAATACCCCATAATGACAAAAAGAAAACAGGTTTGTAGAAATTTTTGCTAAATAAAAATAAATACCTTATTCACATAAGTATTCAGACTCTTTGCTATGAGACTCGAAATTGAGCTCAGGTGCATTCTGTTTCCATTGAACATCCTTGAGATGTTTCTACAACTTGATTGGGGTCCACCTATGGTAAATTCAATTGATTGGACATGATTTGGAAAGGCACACACCTGTCTATATAAGGTCCCACAGTTGACAGTGCATGTCAGAGCAAAAACCAAGCCATGAGGTCAAAGGAAATGTCCGTAGAGCTCCGAGACAGGATTGTGTCGATGCACAGATCTGGGGAAGGGTACCAAAACATTTCTGCAGCATTGAAGGTCCCCAAGAACAAAGTTGCCTCCATCATTCTTAAATGGAAGAAGTTTGGAACCACCAAGACTCTTCCTAGAGCTGGCCGCCCGGCCAAACTGAGAAATCAGGGGAGAAGGGCTTTGGTCAGGGAGGTGACCAAGAACCCAATGGTCACTGACAGAGCTCTAGAATTCTTCTGTGGATATGGGAGAACCTTCCAGAAGGACAACCATCTCTGCAGCACTCCACCAATCAGGCCTTTATGGGAGAGTGGCCAGATGGAAGCCACTCCTCAGTAAAAGGCACATGACAGCCCGCTTGGAGTTTGCCAAAAGGCACCTAAAGGACTCTCAGGCCATGAGAAACAAGATTCTCTGGTCTGGTGAAACCAAGATTGAACTCTTTGGCCTGAATGCCAAGCATCACGTCTGGAGGAAACCTGGCACCATCCCTACGGTGAAGCGTGGTGGTGGCAGCATCATGCTGTGGGGATGTTTTTCAGTGGCAGGGAGACTAGTCAGGATCGAGGCAAAGATGAACGGAGCAAAATACAGACAGATCCTTAATGAAAACCTGCTCCAGAGCACTCAGGATCTCAGACAGGACAACGACCCTAAGCACACAGCCAAGACAACGCAGGAGTGGCTTCGGGACAAGTCTTTGAATGTCCTTGAGTGGCCCAGCCAGAGCCCGGACTTGAACCTGATCCAACATCTTTGGAGAGACCTGAAAATAGCTGTGCAGCGACGCTCCCCATCCAACCTGACAGAGCTTGAGAGGATCTGCAGAGAAGAATGAGAGAAACTCCCCAAATACAGGTGTGCCAAGCTTGTAGCAAGAATACTCAAGACTGTAATCGCTGCCAAAGGTGCTTCAACAAATTACTGAGTAAAGGGTCTGAATACTTATGTAAATGTGATATTTCCGTTTTTTATTTGTAATAAATTAGCAAAAACTTATAAAAACCTGTTTTCGCTTTGTCATTATGGGGTATTGTGTGTAGATTGATGAGGGGGAAAAAACAATTTAATAAATTTTAGAATAAGGCTGTAGGGTCTGAATAATTTCCAAAGGCACTGTATTACTGCCCCTCAGTTGCAAGAAGGGACATCCCAAAAAACTATACAGCACAAACGGTTCCTAGCCTCCCTCACATGCTTTCTGTCCCCAACACTAAAACAAAACAACGAAATAGAAATATTGCTATACAACTACAACTAAATAAAAACTAGCAAATCAGGTCTATAAACTAATGGAAACTCAAATTAATTTCAAATAAAAATTGGAAAATGAATATAAATAAAAACGAATATAAAAACAAACTATAATAAGCTTGCTCTGCATATATCCACCTGTTACAACATAATTCCACAACTAATGCATTATGTAAAGTGTTGGCACGATCAACTCCCAATGAAGGAGCCGAGTGTTCATGGGTCATTTCACCCTTCTGTCTTAGGATCCTACCTCCCTCTCCTTTTCTCCATAAACACCACCACAGTCAGACACTCAAGGGGCTGTAGGACCGAGAGGAGCGGGCTGTAGGACCCAGAGGAGCGGGCTGTAGGACCCAGAGGAGCAGGCTGTAGGACCCAGAGGAGCGGGCTGTAGGACCCAGAGGAGCGGGCTGTAGGACCCAGAGGAGCGGGCTGTAGGACCCAGAGGAGCAGGCTGTGCTGCACTGCTGGAGGAGGGATGGAGGTGGACGGCAGGCAGGAGGGCAGCAAACAGCATGACCTCATCTCTCCAGCAGCCATCTAGCCAGCAGGCCAGGGGAGTGTGAGTGTGTGAGGGGAGTGGGTCAGATCTATCCATCAGCTCAGCTCAATACATATCCTCAGCTCGTGCCACCTTTCAACTCTCTCTCTGTCTGGAGCTCAGCACAGTCACAATCAGGACAGCTAACCGGGTGGATGATTTCTAGCGGTGGCGTTCCAGGTTGTCTTTTTCTGCAGTCGTGCCTGGCACGCACATGCCCAATGTCTATGGCTGTGCATCTGAGGAGATGGATGGCAGCCAACAGAATGAGCTAATCACTTAAGCAAGCATCCAGTCAGATGCCTGCGTGAAGGGACTGGGTCAGATCTATACATCACCCCCTCAATTCACCTTCATCACCTATCAGTACACACAATAGCCAATGCAAGCCCAGCAACTGATCTATGGTCTGTTTGATTTGTAGATTAGTGACTCTGCATAGCGCTTTGCCCAGGTTGGTCCCCTGTATAGTGCAGGCCAGATGGAGGGCAACAGGCAAGCCATGCCAATCCCACTGCTGGCAGCCTGGCACACCTCGAATATTAGAGCTGGAGTTAACACAGAGGGACAACAAGCTGCCCTCCCTCTGTCTATCAGATGAACAATACATCTTTAAAAAAAATCTGACCAGGGTAACTCAGTAGTCCTCTATTCTGGCCTGGGATCTGGGATGTTGAGTATTATTACAGGGTTGAGTGTCTGTCCATCTTTAGACAGTGATGTGGTGTCATTAACAGAGTGCTTTGGAGCCTGGCACCCCAGGTGGTCAGGTGTAACACAGGGGGTAGACAAATGTGTTGCTTATCGTGTGGTTCTAATCTAAAACATGCTAATCATATGTTCCCCAAATATAACATAACTTTCCTCATTACCAATAAAAACAAACAAGAGGTAGAGCGAAAGGTAGAGAGAATGAGAGAGACCAGGAGTGGGGAGATGGAAAGAGAGGAGGCAGAATAGATTATCATCATCTCCATCTGGAATTCTTGCCTCACTCCCTCCATGTCCTTGGGAGTGTTCCTCCTCTGCGCTACTCTCCTCTGGTCTAATTGAGTCAGGATCGATTTCATTGGCAACGTGCTGTAATCACTCCAGTCGGAAGGCTAAGCTTTAGCTGTGTTAAATGCTAAGACATGACATCACCTAGCTAGCTACTGCAGAGAGCTTGCACACAAGACAGCCATGATCCCCCCCACCATCACATACAGCCCCCTGGCCAGTCACAGACACACACACACCTGTACTGGTGGATGTCCTCGAAGGACTTGGTGTTGTTGATTGCGAAGACACAGAGGAAGCCCTCCCCTGTCCTCATGTACTGGTCCCTCATGGCGCTGTACTCCTCCTGACCTGCAGTGTCCAGGATGTCCAGCAGACATGTCTCCCCGTCAATCACCACCTGCTTCCTGTATGAGTCCTGAAGCGGGGGGGGGGGGGGGGGGGGGGGACATCCTCCAGTTACACTGCTACAGACAGACTGCCTACGGATTCTCTACCCAAGTGTGCATTTGCCCACTCCTGCTTAAGGATTTACAAGAATTGGTTTGGTGTGTAAGGATGTGTGTAAGTTAAATTGGCCCACAGCCACAGTTACCTTAACAAACTCAACCCCTGGGGCACTAAATTAACATACAAACAATATGTAGGCATTCACTCACTGCTGTACAATGTAGAGAAAAACAGGGCAATTCAAGAGGGTGCTATGAAATTAATGTAAAAATGCATTTTTCTTTGCCCCATGTCATTATAAATTACACAGAATTAATCATTAGATTGTTCTCTACAATATTATAAACGTAATATACTTGTACTTGACAGTGTTGATTAAATAATAACGTTAATTTGCTGTGACCATTGCTAGTTTAGACTGTGCCGCTCTTAGTTGTATCTCTTCCATATTTGGCGTTGTGAGGTGGTATCATTTGGAGGCGTTTCCTGTGGTTGGACCAATCAAAATCAACTTGATACCTTCGTCATTTTCAGCTCAAGATTCTTGGCTTTCATTGCCTATAATAGAAATCAAACTACGTTGAGAGGGGCAGTTTCTATGGCGATTTAAAGGGAAAGACTCAGAAATACACAATGAAAACAGGAACAGATTGTCTTCGCGAAGGTTGGATACTGAAATTCAGTCTCTTAGCTTTGTAAATAAATATATATTTAGTCCCTATTTAGTTTTTTATTCAGCGGATTTCATTTAGAAAAAGCCCATGTTTTCACGCACAAACCTGCAGCCACTAGTTAGCTTGTCAATTGAAGTTAGCGCCGTTAAGAGTTTTATTGCGCAGTGACCACTTTTTGATCACGCCTGTGATGACATTCCATTCACTCTAAACATGCTAAATTCTCAGAGTAAATCTTCTGTAACATTGAACCATATATGGTAGAGACATGGGGTTGGGACTATCTCTTTTCTGACAGAATGCTCTATTGAATGGACACATTTGTATAAACCTTGAATGAATTAATCATTTTATGGGTGAACACCCTACAATCTGTAATGAATGCTCTAATGGAGTATAAGCTGAAATCCATTGATGAGTGTTCAATATACTAACCATTTACACACATCTCTTGACTAGGCTTAAAGCATGAGTCTGGGTCTGGGACCTGATTGATAGTCTCTCTCACACACAGGCAAGCACACACACACACGTGGAGTGTGCTGGTTGATATCTATGCGAAATCCCCATGCTGTGTGACTGGCCAGAGAAGAGATAGTGGTATCAAAGGGGCAGAGTAGCAGGGCCAATGTTTAGCGTCCCAACACACAGACACAAACATGTGGTGCAGGGCCTTTGTGTGCTAGTGCATAGGGGCCAGGAATGCACACACACAAAAAGGACATTGTCTGGCCAGAGGCAGGCGTGGTGAGAAAGAGAGCGAGAGAAGAGAAAGCACAGACAGACTCGCTCTCTCCTGTTCTCTCGCCGTCTCTAAAAATCTCTCTTATAGTGAACTGAGAGGAACTAAAAAAGGAGTAGCGGTGGAGTAAGAAATTGAAACTTTAAAAAAATTATTTTGGAGAATTGAACTGATAGTGAGTAGCCTGTTTGGTAATGACATTCGGTAGTTAACAGTGGTCTCTCCAGTGAGCCAGTAGTCACACTAGCCTACTCTACTCTGTTCACTACAGATCAGGGGAGGGGCCACATCCACATGACATCAACCACAGTGATCAGCTGCAGATGTGGACAGAAGTTCTGGACACGCGTGCACACACGCACACACTCACACAGTACATACCTCTATGGTGGGGTCGTATTCATCCACAAAGTGGTTCTGGATGAGCTGGATGGTGAGTGCACTCTTCCCCACACCTCCAGCCCCCACCACCACCAACTTGTATTCAGTCATCCTCACTGCTCCCCACACACACTGCTGTGAGAGAGGAGAGAGCAGCAGAGAGAGGGCGAGAGGGAAGAGAAAGGTTAACACATTTGATGTATATTCATTGGCACGTGTTCTGTCTGACATTAGCTTCCCTTAACCCCTACCTCACTACTCTGTTTACCACCACCTCTGCCCAGAGGTGAGATGTTTGTGTGTAGGGCGGCTGAGGTTAAGACCCCCTTAGAGGAATGTCACAAATGTGCTGAAGGTACTCAATGTTCCAATCCGCTCCCACACAACACGAGAGAGAGGGGAGAGGGGTTTGACACTGAGTGCTCCTCATTGATGCCTACCTCACAATCGGAAGCCTCATGTTTTTTATACAGCGTAGAGGCGCTGTTTCTTTGAAAGCCTTTATGTAGCCCATGCAGCACGTGAGCAGAGCATTTGAATAGCCCCTCAATGACAGCTGAGTATGATGCTTCTTCTGGTTACTGATAGGCATGCGCCCATCAAGAAACTGACTGTTAGAACTGCCAAATTCACCCATGGATAGATGAATTGAAACGGTATGGCTGAGAGGGATGAGGCAAAGGGAATAGCAAATAAGTCTGACAACATAGCAGACTGGCAAACATACAGTAAATTGAGAAATCACGGAACTAAAAAAGAAGAAGAAACTATACTATGGAACAAAGATAATTGATATAAAGAATGATAATAAAAAGCTCTGGAGTACTTTAAGTGAAATTCCAGGCAAAAAGGCAAACTTGTCTCCATCAGTCATGAGGCAGATGGCTTTTTCATAACAAAACCCTTTGATATTGCCAACCCCTTTAATAACTTTGTTGTTGACAAGATTAGCAAATTTAGGCATGACATACAAACAACAAATGCTGAGCCTTCATATTAATGCATAACGGACCAAATAATGAAAGACAAACACTGTAGTTTTGAGTTCCGCAAAGTGGGTGTGGAAGAAGTGAAAACCACCTGGTACCAACAACCTGGATGGTAAATTGCGGAGGTTGGTAGCAGAATACATTGTGACTCCTGTTTGCCACATCTTGAATTTAATCCTAGAAGACAGAGGGAGGCAAAGATCATTCCACTTCCCAAGAATAGCAGAGCACCTTTTAAATGGTTAGAACAGCCGACCAATCATCCTGTTACAAGAGCTTAGCAAACTTTAGGAAAAAATGGTGTTTGATCAAATACAAAGTTATTTTACAGAAAACAAATTAACAGACTTTCAGCATGCTTATAGGGAAGGGCACTCAACATGCTCAGCACTGACACAAATGACTGATGACTGGCTGAAAGAAATTGATAGTAAGAAGATTGTGGGAGCTATTTTGTTACTTTAGTGCAGCTTTAGTGGTCTCTTCCCTGTGCAAACAAGGGCATTCAAGAGAATGTTGTAGGCCTTCTTCAGTTCCTCCGATTGCCGAAAACTAATGTTGTTAAATCCAATGTGAGTGACAATGGTGCCAATATTAGAGTAGTTGGCTAGAACTGTGGGCAGGAGGAAGTTGATATCTTGGACACGGGCGCCTGGGTGACAGTGGACCTTGGTCGGCCCACAGGCCAAAAATCACTCACCATCGAGCTGCCCACGACGACGGTGGTCGTGATGGAATCCAATAGGGAAGGAAGAGGGGGAACATAACGGGCCTGCCTCGGGCAGGGGGGAGGAGGTGTGCTTCGACTCACCGCACATGTACCAGTAGCAGCAGATGGCATCGGAATCCTCTGGGAGATGGTGGAGGGCCCAAGACCTTGTTTCCTTTGGTCAGCGCCCCTGGCGGTTGCTGGCTGTTGGTGTACTCCCAGGATCAGAGCGGACTCCCGGGGCCGGTATGTCAGCCTCCAGCAGGGCAAAGCTGTTTAATAGCTGGATCTGATCTTCTAGGATATATGGAGACGACCAGACTGCCTCCCACCCAACCTCCTTCACCTTGCCAGTGTCCAGTCTCCCACTGGCTGCGGAGTTGAACTTACCATCTGTCCAGTGGATTGGAGCATGTCAGTACCGCGCGACTCATCGACCCCTTGGCTGTAGGAGGCATTCAGAACTGAAATTCTGTGTGCCTGGGCTGCAACAAAGTACTTAGAAAGCACATCTTGTTTTTCCCGCAGCTGAGCTAGCAGCCAGAGAATCTCTTCCCAAAGCTGCTTGATGATGATACATTTGGAACAGACCAAGAGTTTATGTTAATATATCAGTTCCACCTTATTTTCCTCCTCTTGCGTAGATCTCTCACACCTGGTGCCATTTGACTCCAGCACTGCTAGCGTTAACTTGCTCTGTAAGCATGATGGCTAACTGCTAACTATTTATTTATTTTTTGCAGGAATCCAGGACACAAACTTGCGGTCCCAGCTGAAAAAGCTAACCGCGTCGCGGAATCTGTAGCTATCAGAACTTCCAATGGTTAAATATGTTGTTGTTGACATGATTGAAAACAATTTAATGAAAACAATTTCATAAAACCAACCAACCGAGTGTAGACAGTACACTGATCTGTTGCGTGCTCTGATGACGTCTGTTGCGTGATGCGTGAGACTGCAGTTATGTTGTACAAACGGTAATCTTGGCTGGTTTTGCTTGCAAATACTTTTAATTTGATTACAAATATTTTAATATTGTTCTAGTGTACCGCAGGGCAGCCGGCTAGGGCCATTATTGTTTTCTGTTTTTACTAATGACCTTCCACTGACCTTGAATAAAGCAGGTGTGTGTATGTACGCTGACAACTCAACAGTATACACGCCGGCTGCAACAGTAAAATAACTGACACCCTTAACATAGAGCTCCAGTCAGTTTTAGAATGGGTAACTTGCAATAGGCTGGTGCTAAATATAAACAAAACATTTAAAGCATTGTTTTTGTTACAAATCACTCGCTCTACCTCATTTTGATCGATTATTGAATAATGTGGTGATTGAGCAAGTTGAAGAGACTAAACTGCTGGGTGTAACCCTAGATAGCAAGCCGTCATGGTTAAAACATATAGACTCAATGGTTACTAAAATGAGAAGAGGTCAGTCCATGATAGGACATTGCTTTGCCTTCTTGACATCTGTCGACCAGACTGGTCCTACAGGCCTTAGTTTTGTCACACCTGGCCTACTTCCCAGCTGTGTGGTCATGTGCAGCAAAGAGGGACATAGGGAGAGATTGAGTGCATCACAAATTGGTCTTTGTGCGAGGTGTTGATATGTTGAAGGTACCGAACTGCCTGTTCAAGCACTTGGCACACAGTTCGGACACTAATCGACATGCAATCAGAGGTCTCTTCACAGTCCCCAGGTCCAGAACAGAGACTGAGAAACGCACAGTATTAAAGCCATGACTACATGGAACTCTGCCATCCCAGTTAACTCAAGATAGCAATAAAAACAGAGAAAATAACACCTTAATACACCATTATTCTGTATTGTAATTTGCACTGTATTACGTATTTGACCTAGATATTGTCTGTATGTATGAATATGTAGGCTGTGTGAGACATTTAAAATGTATGTAGTTCTGTCCTTGAGCTGTTGTTGTCTATTCATGTTCTGTATTATATAATGTTTCATATTTTGTGTGGACCCCAGCAGGGACGTCACAGAACATCCAGGGCTCAGCTCTGAAGTCCTTGGGCTGACTCCGGGGAAGGGGGATTTGATCCCTGCGCGACCGAAATGAAGCACCCCGCACTCTTTGCCTCGCAGGCTAGCAGTGAACATTTTGCAGAAACATAACACTATGTTGCATATCTCACTGCTTTCTCCCATGCACTGTGCTCTTCTGATGCCAAATAATCAACACTTCTTAATATTAATTCAATGGGTTGTGGTCAGTAAACCCATTTAATAATATTTAAAAAAATCTATTAGCAAGTACACATTACAAGTGCATAACTATATTGTAATTTTCCATTATTTTGTTGCAATGTTTTCATTAACCATGTCCAATATTTGATTGGCAATAAAAAAAAAAGCCTCATGTTGATGTTGGTCACATTACAGCTAACTAATGTGAGCTAGTCATGCTGCGCGCACTGTGCAGTTCCAAAACCATCCAAAGGGTGTCAGCCTAGACCACAAAATAATGTTTTGCATGAAATAATGTTCTAGTTACGTGCAATATAGCAGGATTGGGATTTTAGGCTGCCATTCTTTGCGTAAACTCACATTAGCAGTAGGCTTGTATTAACTGTAGAGTGGAGGGAGGGGGGTGGAGCAGGGTAAAAGACTCTGGGCTGAGACAAAATAACTCTGGCCTAAAGCCCCAAAAGCCGAGGGTCTGGTGATGGAAGAGGAAGAGTAGCTGCTGCTTTCGCAGTGGCGAATAGGGATCCTAATAAAAAACAAATTCTCGACGCATTGAATGGACAACAACGTATGCGAAAAATCTAACTAGCATCCATAATTTCTCTGCTGTGTTCCATAGAAAATAGATAGATATCTGCACACCATGTTGAGTGTACTTTGTGGCACTGCAGCAGTGATAGCCATTGGGGTCAGTGAGTTCAGAGGAGAGGACAGAGAAGGGGAAGTCAGAGGGTTTTAGGACTCCCAGGTGTGCCTCTAGTTGCCCCCCCTCAGTGGTTGGGTCCGGCACAGCAATTACACAGGGCTGCCCTGCCCATAAATCAGGGGCTCTCATTAAACAACCTGGGCTGTATTCATTAGTGCAAAACGTTGCAAAATGTTTTGCAACGGAAAACGCTTTTCAACAAAAACGAGCACTTGTTATTGGACAAGTTCCTGTCTGCTTCCATATATAGTTGAAGTCGGAAGTTTACATACACCTTAGCCAAATACATTTAAACTCAGTTTTTCACAATTCCTGACATTTAATCCTAGTAAAAGGTCCCTGTCTTAGGTCAGTTAGGAACACCACTTTACTATTATTCTGACATTTCACATTCTTAAAATAGAGAGAATTATTTATTTCAGCTTTTATTTATTTCATCAAATTCCCAGTGGGTCAGAAGTTTACATACACTCAATTAGTATTTGGTAGCATTGCCTTTAAATTGTTTAACTTCGGTCAAACGTTTCAGGTAGCCTTTCACAAGCTTCCCACAATAAGTTGTGTGAATTTTGGCCCATTCCTCCTGACAGAGCTGGTGTAACTGAGTCAGGTTTGTAGGCCTCCTTGCTTGCACACGCTTTTTCAGTTCTGCCCACAAATGTTCTATAGGATTGAGGTCAGGGCTTTGTGATGGCCACTCAAATACCTTGACTTTGTTGTCCTTAAGCCATTTTTCTACAACTTTGGAAGTATGCTTGGGGTCATTGTCCATTTGGAATACCCATTTGTGACCAAGCTTTAACTTCCTGACTGATGTCTTGAGATGTTGCTTCAATATATCCACATAATTTTCCTTCCTCATGATGCCATCTATTTTGTGAAGTGCGCCAGTCCCTCCTGCAGCAAAGCACCCCCACAGCATGATGCTGCCACCCCTGTGCTTCACAGTTGGGATGGTGGTCTTCGGCTTGCAAGAACATAACGATGGTCATTATGGCCAAACAGTTCTATTTTTGTTTCATCAGACCAGAGGACATTTCTCCAAAAAGTACGATCTTTGTCCCCATGTGCAGTTACGAAGCGTTGTCTGGCTTTTTTATGGCGGTTTTGGAGCAGTGGCTTCTTCCTTGCTGAGTGGCCTTTCAGGTTATGTCGATATAGGACTAGTTTTACTATGGATATAGATACTTTTGTACCCGTTTCCTCCAGCATCTTCACAAGGTCCTTTGCTGTTGTTCTGGGATTGATTTTCACTTTTGGCACCAAAGTACATTCATCTCTAGGAGACAGAACGCCTCTCCTTCCTGAGCGGTATGACGGCTGGGTGGTCCCATGGTGTTTATACTTGCGTACTATTGTTTGTACAGATGAACATGGTACCAAACGTGGTTTGGAAATAGCTCCCAAGGATGAACCAGACTTGTGGAGGTCTACAAAAAAATTTCTGAGGTCTTGGCTGATTTCTTTTGATTTTCCCATGATGTCAAGCAAAGATGCACTGAGTTTAAAGGTAGTCCTTGAAATACATCCACAGGTACATCTCCAATTGACTTAAATGATGTCAATTAGCCTATCAGAAGCTTCTAAAGCCATGACATCATTTTCTGGAATTTTCCAAACGGTTTAGAAGGCACAGTTAACTTAGTGTATGTAAACTTCTGACCCACTGGAATTGTGATACAGTGAATTATAAAAGTTAAATAATCTGTCTGTAAACAATTGTTGGAAAAATTACTTGTGTCATGCACAAAGTAGATGTCCTAACCGACTTGCCAAAACTATAGTTTGTTAACAAGACATTTGTGGAGTGGTTCAAAAACGAGTTTTAATGACTCCAACCTAAGTGTATGTAAACTTCCGACTTCAACTGTATGTCTCCTAGTGAATATGAATCCAGTTGGACCAGGCCTTGTTCTCTTCCAGAACACATCCTTTCCTCATGTCATCCCATCACTGATCTGACATGACTGGAAAGAGAGGGACTCAAATCAACACACAGGCAGTCTGTGGGAATCCTTTAGAATGCATCCTTCAGCCTGTTTTGACCACTGATCTGAGTGGGACAGAACATGACAGGTGAGAGCTATATGGTGGAAATCTACCGTATCCAATCCATTCACCAATCAGTGATCATGAAGGAGAGGAGAGGGAGGGAGCAATGTAAGAATACTGAGACCCAGACACAGTGAGGTGTTGAGTTGAATGGTATGTACACATCCAGACTCTCACTGCAACAGATGGCAGAATGGAGAGTGTATGAGAGAGATTCAGAGATAACCATGGACACTAAGTTATTCCAACAGATCATCAGATATGAATGTAGCCTAGATAACACAGAGGACATACTAGTGATGGTATTGCTCCATGTGTCACAACACAGTCAGTGTGTCTCCTAAACCTACAGAACAGTGTCAGACTACAGTGGTTCACTCATAGGACGTCAGTGCCCTAAAACAAAAACAGCTAACAGAAAGCTATCAACTTGTAATTTTCCCATAAGATCTCAGCACATGCATCACAGGTGCAGCATCAGTAAACCTAGCCAACCAGTAGGCTTCTGATTTGACAGGGTAAAACCCCATACCCAAGTGAACTGTGTAGCGTAGCGTGGCTAAAAGAGACACCTAGCTAAAGTCCTGCCACTGTACTCCCTCTCCTCTCCTGGCTGACGGGCTGGGGCAGGGTCTCAACTGTCGAGTAAGCTGCACGCACGTACATGCGCACGCCGGGCAGTGAAATTCCAGAGGACATGAGTCAAACAGCAGCAGTGAGGAGTCATAAGGGCGATGTTGGTGGTATACACTCAGTAGCTTACCACCAGTCAGTTAGTAAATAATAATAAAATAATATGCCATTTAGCAGACGCTTTTATCCAAAGCGACTTACAGTCATGCGTGCATACATTTGTTTTGTGTATGGGTGGTCCCGGGTATCGAACCAACTACCTTGGCATTACAAGCGCCGTGCTCTACCAGCTGAGCTACAGAGGACCACGACATACATATCCTTCTCATGACCACTTCTCTATGGCAGGACAGGACAGTGATGAAGAGTCAGTGAAAAAGAGTCAGGACTATTCTTTGCCCCTGTAATTGATCATGACATGACAGGTTTATAGAAGAGCCTCCCTTGTCCAATATCTCTTAACTGAGATAAAATATATGGGCCAGCCAACCAACCAACCCACAGCAACCCAGTGTATGGATCTGCCGCACCCTTTATCTTCTACTGTACCCACACACAATGTTCATTCTAAGCTGCGCGCATGCGTGGCGCAGCGAAGTACGAGACTGAACTTCACTCAACTTTCTAGAATTTACCACTTTAGTTAACACTATCAATGTTTCACTCTACTGTGGGAATTGTGCTCGAATCAACGCAATATTAGCCACTTTCAATGTAACATACCGAAACAAAAACAAACTATGGAAGACTTATTAGTATGCAAAACTAACTGTGCAAGAGATGTTCTTTTAGGCAGAGCGCATTGGAGTAGGGGTCTATTGCATTGACAGGCACGACTAAGGCTCTACACAGACCGGTACGCCATAACCAGTCAGAGCTGCAGTAGGCCTATATGCAAATAGCCATTGCCATATATGGATCTGTGCCATTCACTTTGAACTGGACTGTATTTAAAGCATTAGCGGTCGCGAGTAGATGCGCTTGTTCTGATATCAAAGCGAGAGCTGCATGTAGCCACCTGTGCACATTTGTTCATGTTGTTTGCTAATTAGTGAGTTATTAGAGCAGTTATAGCTAATTTCTTGTCAACAAGTGGTTGCTTCCTACAAGAGCACAAAATGTGTGCATTTCTAGCCATCTTTGAAAAGCTAGTCAAGTAAAGAGCTTTTGTATGTCTTAAAAGGGGCAGTGTTGCATTTTGAGACGGTCTTGAATAAGCTAAGTAGCCAATAGGCAGAGGGTAGCATAACTTGTCTGTTTCTCTCTAATAATGGTATGGGAATAATAATGCATTTTATTTTGTAGTGGTTTCTTGCATCAAACACCACATTTTCAGTCCCCTCGTTGTCTGAAGGACAAGTGGATAAACAGGTTAAAGTCAAGCCCTGCATGTTTTTTTCTAAAGTCTCTTGGAATGTAGGCTTACATTGACCACACATTTGCTGCTACTGACAGAACAGCTATTTCCATTTTTAAATGTTATGGGATGCATTTTTCTCCATAGTTTTTTATGGTAGTCAACTCTGGTATGCCTACATTATGATCAAATAGCCACAGCAGCCTACTTGGCCACTGATACATTTTCAAGTTTGCGCTCAGCAGACCTAAAATTTGCTCAGTGCCGGGAAAAATTAGAGGGAACATTGCCCACACAGACGACTTACTAACAAACAGACCCTGGATCTTCTACCGGATGTAAGCATACTACTCCTTTAGTACACTACAACCTTCTTGACCAAACAGCCACCTACCTCTTCACTGCTCTCAGAAATATACCCTGACCTGTATCCCCTATGACACACAGTCAAACACAGCATCCCCTATCCTACACTAACCTCCTGTCCTCCTCTAAAGTTTTAGCTCCATGAAGCCCTGTTACTCCTCATGTGCTCAAAAACTGTACACACACGCCCTGTGTACAGTACACACACAAACACATATGCCTACACAGGCGCTGCAGTGTTCCTAGAGGAGAGGAGTAACTAGTGACACCAACCTGGACAGATTGATGAGAGCAGGATACACACCATCAAAACCCCCACCCCATTTACAAGGCTAATGCAGTGGCAGGGAGTCAAAGGCAACAGACACACTCCAAGTAACTCCTATATTTGTCTCTGGTTGTGGTAGTGTATTAATACACCGTCATGCACCTCTGCCAGTCTAGAGCCCCTGTGTGTGTGTGTGTGTGTGTGTGTGTGTGTGTGTGTGTGTGTGTGTGTGTGTGTGTGTGTGTGTGAGAGAGAGAGAGACCAGGGTGCCTTGTTGATGAGTGGACTGTTGGGTCACTGATGTTAATGATTGAAGGAAGGCTTCTTGCTTGCTGACAGAGCAACTGCCCTCTGATCTGTTCTGCTCTGCTCCAAATCACTCAGGGCTTCTCCTGCATGGCTGTTCCAACAGGCTGTATACCAGACTGCCACAAGGTTTCATGGAAACAGGTAGCTCTCTAGATCGACTAGACCAACACCAATGTCAACACTCACAGGCTTGTGAAAACAACCCGATGCCTATAATTCTCTAACACTACAGGAAGAGATTACCACGACCTCTCAATCGTGTGGGTAAACATTTAGCTTCCTTCTTCCCTGTAAATTAATTCAGTTAAAAAAATACTGGGCATATACTAGTTAATACAGCAGCTGAGGTGGAGGTCTCTCTTGACTGAGCCTGGGCATGCCCTGGCCTACCGTAGTGTTATCATCTTTTTTAAATGATACATTCTAAGTTCTAGAGGTCTGGCCCAGAGAGAAAAGCTGCAGCTTTGATTTATCCCTCTGAATAAACAGGGGAGATGACTTCTTGCACACAGGCCGTTGTTGCCTTTTCAACATGGAGATTTATAGTGGCAGTCAGATCATTCTTACTGGGCTGTGTGTCCTGAAAGAAAGGTGGACACAACTACAGGGATGACATCATAAGAAAAGAGAGGCACAACCAATCAACAGAATGGACTGGGTGGGGTGGGCCTAGGGTTGGGCGATATCACAATCTCTCACATTTTTGACAGTATGGCGGTATTTTATGTTTCTGAATAATAAAAGTTCAAAATATGTTTTACGAGTAGTGCATGACCCTTGAATGGCAACAAATTAGTTCTAAGTGGTTTTAATGGGCTTTCTCCATTCTGATGGTTTTATACTCAACCAAACTAGAACAAAAACTGACAGTGAAGTAGTTCAATTTGTAGAACTTTTAATTTAGCACTGTATCAAAGAATCGTTATAGACGGGATTTGGATCCATACCTGTATACCGGTATTCACGATATATTGCCCAGTTCTAGGTGGGCCAATCAGGGAGACGGTAGAACATGAGTGACGATTACTCCTCCTCCCCTGTCCAAACCATCCCAGTCCCTTGGTGCTCCCCCTCTCCTCACCTGTTCCACCTCCCCCTTGACACTGCTGATCTCAATGACCCTGTAGAAAGACTCCCCAGTCTCCCCATCAATCAATACAGTTACAATTGGCACGTTCTAGGACATCTTTTTAATTATGCTGTGCATCTCAGAAGATAGATATACATCACATCAATGTGGTTCTTGAGATGGTTCCTCTGACAAAGCCATGGGCAGAAGAGAGTAGGAGCACTCTGAAAGAAAACCCCTAGGATTCCAGGGAGGGAAGCTAGTTTCTGTGGTGAAGAAGTGAAAGTGAAAGGCGTCAGGGTTCAACAGAAAGGAATGTTTTGAGACAACACATTGAGGTAACGCTTCAAACAGCACCACCAAGTACAGTACATCGTTTCTACGCCGTATCATGGATGGTTGAATTATTATGAGAATAACAGTTAAACTCGCACATGTATGTCATATCATATGACATCAACTTGAGACGTGCCCACATTGGGAAGAGCCAATAGATGCAGTCTAGGCAGATTTGAATTGTATTGTTGTTGGTAAGAGGAGCTGTCTTTTACACACTCTTCTATGGGTGAGGGGAGACATAGCTGTGCTATTCACTGACAATCTAGACTGTCAGAGGCTGATTAATAATCCAGAGATTAATGTTTGATGCAGCCCTGCCTGCTGACTCCAGGACCACTTGTTGTCTGTAGGGATCAGTCCTGTGGTGTTTGTCTAGCTACTACCGAGGGAGGACACGATCACATGGGATGCACACACACGCGGCAGAGTTCTCCCTGTGGCAGTGCCCGCCATACCCTCTCCTCTCTTTCTGACTCTCAGTTTGGTAATTAGTGCCAGAGCACGTTGAGTCTCTCTCCACCAGTCTTAATTAACCCCTAAAGTGTAAACACACACACACACACACACACACACACACACACACACACACTGCTACACTGCAGTCATACACAGTCTCCACAACCCCACCACTACAATACACACATAGTCTGGGTCTGGGATGGGCACAGTGCTGGTTATCTTTTTTTATTAATTCATTGATCCAGAATTCTAATATAACAGAGGTCAAGAATGGAGGAGTCAACCCCTAGTGTAAGCACTTTCGAAATGGTGACACGGATAGTATAGTCTAAATACTCTGTTTTCGGCCACAGCCCTGTCTGATGACCTACTCCACTAAATCTCTGTATGGCTGTGCCCTTTTGCTCAAGGAGCGGTACATGTACATGTGTAGGATTATATATAGCCCACGGCCACCTCGAGCTGTGGAAATTAACAGTTCCTTTTGAAACTCTAGAGCACTGCCTGGACCATGAGGATAATCTTACATGACATCTTACTGAGGGCGCAGGCTGGGAAACTGTTGAGCGTGAAAAACCCAGCAGCATTGCAGTTCTTTACACACTCAAACCGGTGCACCTGGCACCGACTACCATGCCCCATTCAAAGGCACTTAAATATTTTGTCTTGCCAATTCACCCACTGAATGGCACACATACAAAATCCATTTCTCAATTGCCTCAAGGCTTAAAAACCCTTCTTTAACCTGTCTCCTCCCCTTCATCTACACTGATTTAAGTGGATTTAACAAGTGACATCAATAAGGCATCATAGTTTTCACCTGTCATGGAAAGAGCAGGTGTTCCTAATGTTTTGTACACTCAGTGTATACTGTACCTTCGGGTAGAACACAACTCATTGTATTCAGCATTGATTTGATAGTAGTATGCTACTCTTTGCCACACGTTTGAGTTTGAGGAGAGGTAGGCTACCTTTCCACCTGAATACACAAATAATTGTCCCGATCTCGCCCCCACCCATCCTCTGTCGAGGATGAAGAACTTAGGAGCGGACCTCATGCGTCGCCACTCTCCACATGCAGCCCCCTCTCTCAACTAAAGCACTTAATAGGTTAAAGGATCCATATTGGCAGAGCCACAAATCCACTGCAGGGATAGATTTTTAATGGAGCGATGATGGTAAGGGAAACCTCTCTAGGGACGGATCACAATCGAACACTGAGAAACCATCATGGAGACTAGACCAAGCCCCCCCCCACACACACACACACTTAATCTCTGTAAATGACATCTTCAGTGCACCATCACTACACGAGACTCAGCGGCAATGCTACAATACAATGTAGCCCAGCCTTGACACAATTCAGCATCAGAAAATCCATCCATTTACAAGATGAGGTAAATACCCAGGCCTTTAGGCCTAACCCCATTACATCCATGGCTCATCCAACAGAACACAATGTGAAGATAGAAGCCTGCACATCATGTGAATAGGATCACAGAACAAAACAGTTCAGTCAATCAACTAATCAAGATACTTGGAATCAAGATGTAGCATCTTCTCAGAAAGCAGGAAGGGTTGTAATGAGTGGGAGTGCTGTGCTCCCTCTGCTCTCCCCAATAGTGACACTGTGTGTAGAGGGAGAGAATAGAGGTGAGGGCCCTAGCTTCAAAACAGACATCAGCCTCTTAGCAAAATGTGAAATGTTTCCATTGGGTCATCCTTTCAGGTTGTTAACCAGGGATCAGGTGATGGAGCCAGGTGGGGAGATGAAAAGGACAGATGACCTCCACACTGAACACTGCCAACCTGACAGCCTCTGACACCTGTGGGCCACTGGCATGTAGGCTGTGCAGCGGGAGGGGCCCACTTAAGTTGCAGTGCCATCAACATAAAATGAGAACCAAAATAATAACTGATCAAGACATATGAGATGCATATATCGTTAACAGTCAGGTTTGTGACATTGACTAAGCATTTCATGGTCAGTAAATAAAGTGTGTGTTTTTGTGTATGTGAGAGAGAGAGATCAGGTGAGATGATTCATCAGACAACCCCCAACAAATCAGAGCCATCCCAGAGAGCATTTTGAGAGCTGCGTAAACAAAGGCCTTCCTGGACAAGGAAGATCCCAGCCAGAGTCCTCTGCGCTATAGTCCTCCCCAAGAACACAGGCTGAGAAGAGACCTGCAGACAAAACATCTCACACACACACACGATACAGCCAGGACCATCGGTGGACAAAGACAATCTCTATTCAGCTCCATGACAATAGAAAGCAACTGGGAGACCAACCATTGAATCCATTAGTAAACAATCCCCAACACAAAGCCACTCTGCCCAAGAATTAGAGGAGCCGTGCCCCTCATGTAGCTTCAGCTACCCATTATCAAGTGTAACAAACCACCATCATGCCCTTTATGTGAATAGAACCCTTTCTAAATCTAAGAGTGTCCAAATCAATGGTTTATCTACCTTGAGTGTAAATCAGTAGAGACCTTTCATCAGCATGATTACTTTTTGTATGAAACGGTATCGTTCTCATGGGGTATTGTTGACGTGAATCATGCTTCATCATGAATCATGGTTTATTAGACCACTGATGTTTGTTTTTTTTGTTTTTTTGTTTTTTTTGTCATTTAGCAGACGCTCTTATCCAGAGCGACTTACAGGAGCAATTAGGGTTAAGTGCCTTGCTCAAGGGCACATCAACAGATCTTTCACCTAGTAGGCTCGGGGATTAGAACCAGCGACCTTTCGGTTACTGGCACAATGCTCTTAACCACTAAGCTACCTGCCGCCCCCATGTTGTTTTGTCACACACTCATAATAGTCTACTGTATTACTAAGCACAGTCCCCTGTAGCTCAGTTGGTAGAGCATGGCGCTTGCAATGCCAGGGTTGTGGGTTCGTTTCCCACGGGGGGCCAGTATGAAAATGTATGCACTCACTAATTGTATGTCGCTCTGGATAAGAGCGTCTGCTAAATGACTAAAATGTAAATGGCCTATTCTGTATTATTACTTACTACTAGGCTACTGCATTACTAATAATCATGGTCATCATCATAACAAAACAAATAGATGAAGTTATCAAAACACCCAATGACTGACAGTGGGTGAAACTGACCTGCAATGGAGGCATATAAAGACTGAAAATATATCGTGCTTTTAGGCTACATCATGGGTCATAGGTCTGTCTCTTGGTCAACACCGCATGTATGATGTCATAGCCCACTGAGTAGAAATTAGAGTCCTTGGCAGGCATAGGTAGCTAGAATAGCAATGTTGTTGAATTAGCTTTATATTTAGCCTTATGTGGGATATATAGTCTACCGGCAATACTGGTTCTCCCATGCTTTTTTCCTTTTTAAACTTCAGGCTACTCAACAACAAAAAATCGCATGTTATTCCAAGCATCAGCTTCGAATGTAAGACATGCGACAGAAACTTCTGACGTTTTTGTCTGGTGAGCATATACTAGTCGGCTGTCTCTAGCCTACAAATCAGCTATTCCTGGTCCTTGACCAAGCATATAGGCGTAGAATTGCGTTCTAAATCAAACGCCTAGTAATGAAATGCAACTTCCGCAGTGCTACAATTCGGTGTAGCCTACAAGACGGGGCGTCACCCTTGTCTGTGTGGTCTACAAGCTACAGCCGCTATCGCAGGGCGGCTGTTCGAGCGCTCATTGAATGGCCTGGACATACAAAATGGCAACAGTTTAACACTTGAATTTCTTGACAATGGCAATGAAAATCTTAGGGGGTTCATTTTCTAGTATGCCTTCCTTGGTTTAGTTTAGCCTATATATCAGCAGCAGATGATCCCCTGTCCATTAAGTTTATGGGCCGACCTGGGGATTTAGCCTACGAACTAAATTCACTTAAACCTATATATGAGAAAATAATATACACAAACTGATTCTATAGGCCTACCAATATACCTATGTTTTGAGTCAATGATCACGCGAATAGCAGTTTGCCTGCCAAAACGTTAGGCTACACCTCCCAATGTTGTGCTTGCCAACGAAATTCAGCCTGATGTAGGCGTGAATAATGTCCTAAAAAAAATTAATAAAAAGTGCGCCGTAGCAGTGAACGAGCTACGAAACACTACTTTTGGTCCCCTGTATGGGTTCCCTGGACAAAGCACACACAACAACCTTGAGCGACAGTTCAAATAGCCTACATTTGTGTAATAGATGAAAAATGTGCACGCAATACTTACAAGCAGAGCTCTACCCAATAATCAG